TGCCCCCGCGGGCGCCATGGCGCCCGCGGGCACCGTGTTGGGGACCACGGATGTAGATGGAAGGAAAAAATATCATCTGAGCTAGAGGAGAACCTGCAAAGACTTATGGTCTTAGCATCACCAGACACCATTGAGGCTCTCAACACTAAAATGGCAATGGACCAATTTTTAAATGCTCAACTGGATTTGGAAGATCAGCGAAAGGAATCCAAATACACACTGAAATAATGTGGAATTTGCCACAGAACTTGAATCTTTTCTTGTAGCAGTGTCCAGAAGAGAAAGTTTCTGCTGTATAGAAAATGAAAGCGGATCACCATGTGCCCGGGAAGCACAGCTGTGTATCTCATAAGTATGAGAAAGAAGAGATTCTGATCTACTTTGGGACCTTATTGAAGAAAAACTGATAAATCTGATGTGTAAAATAAAGGGAAACTGGCAATAATGCAAAAATTAAACAGTTCAGTTAAATGTTAGTACTCTGACCACACTGGCCACAGAAAGGATTGTTATCAATTTACAATAGGCCCAAAGAGACTCTTGCAAGTGTATAGTGAAAGCCCCTTTTCCAATTCAAGAAATGGAGGAACACTACCCTGACAGGGCAAAGAATAGAGGAGATAAAAGGATCAACCTCACAGATTTTGTTTAGATCTGGACAATCATAATGGGAATACAGCTAATAATTTCAAGAAAAGTGTCTTAAAATTTTAGTCAGACTCCCTTTAAAGATATGGCCCAGGTGAGAGAAATTATTTGTAGATTCAGGCAGCACCTCTATAAACCGGGACTGTCTGGTCCAGCAACATCCATGGTCCTGCACAGATGTTCCAGGATCAGAGAATCCCTGTGCGCTGCAGGGAAAGGAGCAGGAGCCTGGTGTTTTGTGGGGCAGAGGAAGAGGGAGCCCAGTGTATGGCCCAGCTGTGCTGTGGATGGGGAAGGGGGCAGGACCTGGGCTCCTGGAAGAGGGGCTGGGAGCCGGGAAGCTGCCACACTGTAGAGAAGGGTGGGAGCTGGGAAGATTACATTACATTTTAGCCTTGTGATGGGGCTGACTAACCACCCTGGCACTCCCAACCATCTGTCCTGAGAATAGGCTCTCTTGCGTCACTGGATGCCTCTTATGAGGTGGTGTCTCCCTGCATTTCTCCTGGATCACAGCGTCCTCTTCCAGACACTGCCTTCTGTCAGTGCCAACACCTGTGTCTGAGCCCCCCTTCCAGGGGTGGTGGTTGTTCTCTCTGCTCACTTCCCAAGGTCCTCTCTTTCTCAGAGCATCCCGATTTCCTCCTTAGGCGCTAAAGCCTGAGAGCTTGCCTGGCCAGAGCTCCCCTAGCGCTGCCTTGCCTCCCCAGGATTGCTCCAGCACTGCTTCCCTAGCAGTCAGGCTCTCACTGCTCTCTCTCTAGAGCAGCTGTCAGTTCCCCCCTGTATAGCTCCAGCTTGGCCCTCATCAGTTAGAACTGCCTCAGCTCAGGCTTTGTTCCTAGCACTTTCTCTAGGCTGGGGTTTTGCCCTTAAAGGGCCAGTGCAGGGCAAGTGCCCTGTCACAAGCCCCATAGTTGATAAAATATTAGCACATCACACACATATAGTATTAAAAAATGAAAATTATGATTATTGTTACTTCTAGATATTCACAAATGTGTTTTGATGCAAAATACATTAATAATTTTTCTTATTTCTTTTAGATTACTCCAGGAAGCAAAGCTTCAGCGGCCAATTTAAGTCCTGGTGATGTCATTCTAGCTATTGATGGCTATGGTACAGAGAACATGACTCATAATGATGCACAGGAAAGAATTAAAGCAGCATCACATCAACTTTGTCTCAAAATTGAGAGGTAATTCATTAAATGTATGTACCACAACAAACAGGCAGTCCCCGGGTTACATACAAGATAGGGACTGTAGGTTTGTTCTTAAGTTGAATCTGTATGTAAGTCGGAACTCGCGTCAGCCACTGCTGAAACTGATCAGTTTCAACCGCGGCTGAATCTGGACACCAGTTCTGACTTACATACAGATTCAACTTAAGAAACCCAGGCGTCCCCAAGTCAGCTGCTGCTGAAACTGATCAGCGGCTGATTCCAGGAAGCCTGGGGCAGAGCAACTCTGCCTCGGGCTTCCTGTAGTCAGCCGCTCCCCAGCTGCTCTACCCCAGGGGTAGGCAAGAAAAGCCTGGTCTGCTGGGGGGGGGG